GAAACAGGGTAGTGGCAATATCACAGGTTGGACCTACTTTGCTGCCCATAGACCAGGGCAGATTGCCATCATTGATGAAGTTATGAATTCTGAATTGTAAGAACATATTCTAGTGCAAAATGTCATGGTATCTGTTTTTGAATTGAAGTTAAAGAAAAAATAGTTGTGCAGGTTTAGTGTTAAGATAAGGAATGCAGGAAAACAATGACCCAAAATGCAAGTCAAATTACCAAAGAATGGTTAAAGCAAAGAAAATTAAATATTTTGGAATGTCCAGGTCAAAGTCCTGATCTTCATCCTGTATAGAAATATTGTGGAAGCGGGCAGTTCATGCAAGGAGGTCCGCCAACATCCCTTTGAAGCTGTTCTGTAAGAAGGAATGAGCTAAAATTTCTCCAAATCAACATGCAAAACTGATCAACATTTAGTTGCAGTTATTGATGCCTAAAGGTGGTATATCAGTTAAGATTCACATATGAGATGTGGCATACTTTGTCACAGAAAGATATGTAGCTCTGGATCATTTTCAAATATACAGATATGTTTTTGACTCATTGAACTGGATTTATCTAGTTTTTTAGTGAAGAACAGATCACATTTTATATCATATCTACAGTATGTAGAAATAGAAAACATTCAAAAGGTTTACAAACTTTTAAGTACCATTGTAGTAGGATAGCAGTTCATTCAAAATAACATTAAACTCAATGATAAAATACGCTACTTTGCTAGAATTACAAATTACAATTATCTGGTCAGAAATCAGAGGCCTTTTCTCAATTAAATTTGCCTACAAGCTTCCTTTCTCCTGCACTTTCATCAAATACTATAAAACCCTCATGACAAAGTCCAAAGCAATTTTCACCAGCTTGTGGGTTGCCAGATGTGTTGTATCAGAATACTTATTTTCCCAGTCACTTTATTTTGAAAGTGGAAGACTGTTTGGAGTCAATTACCAGAATCGGGTGGGTGGATTGACAAGGAACATTGCTTTTGCAAAACTCCCCCAAATCTATAATCTATTAATAGCAGCCTTCAATGAAAAGAAGTAGTTCAAGTGTAATACATTTGTGAGTAATCTACTACTCCTACCAGACATTCCCCAAACATGGCATGATGTTTCTGTACAACCTAGGGCACTGGTTCCCAACGTGGGGCCCATGCCCCACAGGGGGGCAATTTAATTTTTAATGGGGGCAATTTGAGCCTTGTTTAAACCAACTTAATGGCCTTTCAGGCTTCCTCTGCATGAGTAGAGTTCACTCTTTGAGTAAAGTAAGAATTATATGTGGGGGGGGGGGGAATCAGGATTTTAGAGATGCTTAGATGGGGCATGGCCAAAAAAAGGTTGGGAACCATTGATTTAGGGCATATTTCTTAATAACCTATCCAGTTTCTCCTCTTCATCTCTAGCACAAGATCCACTGATGAACTTCACAAAAGCCCCACTGCCACCTACCTTCAAATAACCATGCCGTATACGACAGTCTTGCAATTGTGATTTAAAGGGACACGGAGCGACGAAAGGCTCCGGGGTCACTAGGACAGCCCAGCTCTCCTTCCATTCATTCCCCGCTTTCTGCGCCGCTCGAAAGCCACTGCCGAGCAGGGCCAAGGCGCGCTGAAACTCACCCAGAACTAAGACGACGAACACGGCCACCGCCACCGAGACCAGGAGCCGGACCTGCGCCACGTCCTGGTCCGGCAGGGGCGCATCTTGGGGAGGGGGAAATTCGTCGCGCTGGGGCGTCACTTTCACACCGTTCATGCTGAGCCGCTCACCAGGCGTGACAGCTTCATACGTCTAATGTAGCGACGTGTCCAGCTATGGAATCGTCATCTTCCGGTTTCTACAGCAGGTGGCTGGTTATTGGAGCAGAGGATCATGCTCCAAGAGATTTATGGGAACTGTAGTTTACTCATCTGAGAGAGAGAGAGAGAGAGAGAGAGAGAGAGAGAGAGAGAGAGAGAGAGAGAGAGTTACATTGGACTACATCGCCCAGAATTCCTAGCGAAGAAACCTAGTGATACCGAGACGCGGAAACTTGTTCTAAATCTAAAGCAAGTGTCCCCAAACTTGGCAACTTTAAGACTTGTGGACTTCAACTCCCAGAATTCTATGCTATGCTGAATTCCAGCTCTGCTGGCTGGAGAATTCTGGGAGTTGAAGTCCACAAGTCTTAAAGTTGCCAGGTTTGAAGACCTGTGATCTAAAGCATCCGTTTCTTGTAGGGGGGGGGAAATCATCAGAATTTTGTAAAAATCAGAATTTGGGGGATGTTCCACATTTAAACATTCGAAGATGATTTTATTAGCCCATTTCATTTGGCATGGAAAGTGTTGGCAGATTTATAAAAACTATAGAAGATGAAATGGGGAGCATTTAAAAATGCTTTGTTAGTGCAATTGATCAGTATCCACGCGATCTTGACTCTTGAAAAACTGGGGCGACATTAATATTTCTGCTCTGTCAGTCATCTCGTACTCCACTGGCAGAAGCTGACTGAAATGGTTATTAAATTTTGTTTCCAACACAATAAATTCTATGATGTAAACCCATACTATATTGCTACCTCTGTCTGTTCAAACCTGAACTGAGTAATAATTTTATTTAAATAATCAAAGTGCTCTGAAGTGGTGACTTTGGGGTTCTTCAGAGCAGTTTTATCAGTCTGATGTTTTTTTAAAAATGCTTGGTGAGAAGTGAGGAGAAAAACATGACAATGTTTATCTCTAAAATGTATTGACTACAATGTTTTTCCAATATGTCATACACTATATAATATGCAATTAAAGGTAGAGCACTAATCCTACAATTTTTTTCCTTTATTTTTTTTATAAGCAACTAGATGAAGAAATCTGAGGTAACCCCAAAACTTACTCAAGGTTTTAGGACATCTAAACTAATACAATATTTCCCATTTCTGGATTTTCTTGGGTGAAAACTGCTCCTGTTTAACTTTAACATGCAAACAAATGTAGATTCTAATCTGAGCTTGATTCCCAAGGAAGTGGTTAGGGTTCTCAGTGCTGTCAGTTTATCCACCTGTTTATGGGATCAGGGCTTGGATTGTAAAAGTGCCAGGGAGGCAATCTGTTGTTGGGGCCAGGCAATAGTGTTGACCTCACTGAAAAAGAGTGCTCTGTGACCTTAGTTATTTGATATTACCTTGGCCTGACTTTCACTGATGCTTGAAATTAACAAGACCTAAATTAGCTACATACTGAAGGCTTTTCCCTTCTAATTGCCTTACAGAACAGGTCAGGCAAACAGTCAGAACTAGCAATGTGTACCTGTTTATTCATTTGTAATTAATTTCTCTGTAATGAAAGTAAACACAAATACCTAATGTGTCCTCCCCCCCCCCCCACGTTTTTCCTCCTTTCCATTTTTTTCTTATTTCTTTTGCCTGTTCAAATACCTGGTAACATTAGTGCACCCCCTCCACAAAAAGCTGTCCTTGAAACTAGGTTTTCAACCAACAACAACCAGTTTCCAATCATTCCTTTTGGGGAAAGTTTGTTGAGCCTATACTCAGTCTGCACCTGATGAGAACCCTGAAGGAAATGGATTATCTAGAGTAGAACCGTTTCAGTCAGGTTTTAGCCTGGGATTTAGTACTGAGACAGCCTTGGTCACATTTATCATTGACCTATGGTGGAGCTAAGATGGTAATGGCACATCCATTCTTGTGCTCCTTGATTGCACAGCAATTTTCAATACCATTAACCAGAGTAATCTTCTGAGGTCATCTGCCAGTTTGGGATTCAATATAATTAATATGTTGATGATACTCAATTATATTTTTCATTCAAGGTTGCTATGGAGTTGGAGTGAGGTCATTCTGAGCTTGCAGTTCTTGCTTGAAGAACAGGTATTCAGCTATGGCCAGGAAGGCCTTTGCACAACTCCATTTAGTGCCCCAGTTACATCTTTTCCTAAATTGAACAGAATTTTGACAATAATGCCTGTCCTACTTACTTTGCAGCTTGACCACTGCAATATGCTCTACATAGAGCTTATCTTGAAGATTATACAGAAATTTCAACTGGTCCAGAATGCTGTGGCATGAACAGTGATTGGCCTGCCCTGCTATGTCAATGTAAAATGTCTACTTTTTGTGGTGCACTGGTTACCAGTTTGCTTCCAGGTGCCATTTGAAGTCCTTGTTACTTATAAAACTCTACTTGGCATCCTGCCAAGTTACTTGACTAGTCTCTCACAGCACCTTTCCTGAAATTCAATTGTGCAGGACTGGCACACTTCAGGGTCATTGTTTAAAAAATGTGATCTATTGGAACCCTAAAAGTATATCTTTTCTGCAGAAGTGCCTGCCCTCTGGAATTAGATTTCCTCCAATATCTGGATGGTCCCCGTTCTGGGGTTGTTTTGAAGAGTCATGAAGATAGTATCAGTAGTAATAAGTGGCTTGGCTGCAATCCCAAAACATCTGGAGCATCACTTGAACACCATTGACATTGATAAAATCACCATCAGTCAATTGCAAAAAGCAGTTATACTTGGAATAGCTTACATCTTGCAATGGTACTTTCAGCACTATCAAACAGCTATCTTTACCAGGTTCTTGGGAATCACATGATAAGTGGGTAAAAATACCAAATCCAATCCAAACATCTTGATTTGATTTTTGATTTGATTTTAACTTTATTTGTCTCACTGACTATATAATGAACCATAACAATTAATAATCATGAGCAATTATTATGATTGGTTACATAGTCAGCAAGTTGTTTAGTCTAGATTTGGCATTATTAACCACCTACTGACTCCTTTCGAAGGACGTAGGATAAGCCATTGTTGTTTAATAGTATTAAACGTATTGGTACATAGTGAAAGCTGTTCCAAATAAAATTGCCTTAGTATTATTTGTTGTTACTATTTGTGTCCAAGAAATTGTTTTCAGCCTTGGTAGACAATGACACAAAATGCTAATATATGAAGGCAAGCTACTAAAATAAGCAATCACAATAAACAGAAATTAAACTGTAGGTGTTAATTCTATTTATTTTTTGCACTAGTGACTCTACAGAGTTACAAAGCCATAATGGAATGTTTAACAGAATTAAACAGTATTAAAGAAGAATAAAGTAAGTATGGTAGACTTTTGTCAACTTTGGGCAAGTAAGTATGAAGCATCCATTTTATTTCACTGCAAGAACTTGATATTCACCAGTCATGTTGATGGAAGGTGCAGACCTTAAGGAGTTCTGTCAGAAGAAAACAGAAAAAAAGTAAGAATTAAGAGAGAGAGAACTAAATAAATTGTTCTACAATAGCACAAAGTGGCCCACAAACTGTTTAACCTTTAGGAAATCTTTTGCTGTTCTGAGTATTCCAGCCCCAGTTTGAATCCCTGCCATCCCAAGAGCATGTTGGGTTGGGAAGACCAAAGTATGGCATGTCTTAAAAAACAACTTGTGCAAAATAAGGGGTGTTTTTGAGAGCATAAAAATATTTATCTAATATGATAGCTGTGTGTTTAATTCCACATTCCTCTATAAATTGTTGGGAGCATGGAAAGAAAAGAGATATATTCTATAGATAATGAGACTGAAAAAGACCTTCCAACGGTGCATATTCCACTCTGAACCATTAACATATCATCATTGTAACTGTTTTAAAGTATTCCTTAGTAGTGTTAAGTTCTTTTTTTTTTTTAAAGGAAAGAACAACCCTATCCCAATTGACTTCTCCTTCATCTCTGAAGAACTTAACAGAAGAGTTTAAAATTGAACAAAAGAAAGAACATTTATTACACCTTTACACCAGGCGTAATATACCACAATGAAGAAAACAACATGCCCAGAGCTCTGATATATTTTTTTACGGAACCATTTGCCATACATTTAAAATATCTTTTCAATATAGCCTATTACAACTAATATTTAATTTTCTCTTTGTCAAGTTATCTCATCCTTTGAATGTGCTTTATATCAAGAAATTCTAGTACAATGGTGTTATAAGCATTTTTTAAAAAAAAAATCTTTAAAAATAGAGGAAACATATTCAAATGATAGTGAAGATATTTATTTGTTACCTGAAGATGAACATTTAGTGAATCCTTCAAGAGACTGCAGATATTCCTGCCCAAGATATTGCTGAAAGGTAACTTCATTTGGAACAGCTAAGCATTCTGTGCCATCTTTGAACAAGCTATCTTTGGCTTCAGATTGGAATAATGAGAAGACATCTTTCTGACTTCCCTGCGGTCCAAATAGTTTCTGTAAAAATCAACAAAAGCAGGATTTTAGTAGTTATCATAATATTTAATAAATACAGTAGTTTTCAGTAAATGCATAACATTTCTTGTATTTGGAACTATTTTTTCTTTTTATTTGTGTCTGTCATTTCTGAAGGATGTTATTATTGGAATATTATACTGGTAGATGCTTCTTGCAGCCAACACATCACAGCCAACTCACTACAGGGCCAACTCGCCATGAGACAAGAGTTATACTAATATCAAAAAATGGTGGACTAGAATAATTAAGTTAAGAATGCAAAACGAGGGACAAAATGAATATGTGATTGACAAAAATTGAAATCATTTTTTAATGTTTTTAAATAACTAAGTTGAATTGTTAAATTGTCCCATGGCAAGTTGTCCTGTGGCGAATTGCCCATGGCAAATTATCCCACAACGACTTGGCCATGGCGAATTGCTACAGTGAGTTGGCCAGTTCTGTCTATCAGAGCTGATGCACATCTCCAATGTGTATATGTTATATAATTTTACTATTAAACATAACAGCCTCAATTCAGAGCTTACCTGTTGCTCAAGTAGCACCTTTTTAACCACTTCTGCTCGTTCAGGAGTAGTCACCACTGCATGATTGCAAACTTGGGCCAAACCACATCTTCTATACTCATCATAACGACAACGCTCACCATTTTTGTTCAGAAGAACAAAATCAGAAGGAGAAGAACCACTTGCCCAAGCAGGTCTGTTCTCTCCTATTTAAAAAATGATTAAAATTATTAACAAGAATAAGGACTCCCTGCATCACTGTGCATATACTTGCCTTATTAGCCCTACTCCATGAAAAGGGGGGATAGGACTTTGCCAGCTGCTCCCCGTGCCATTTCTTATCTCACTGGCAATACAGTCTATATGACAATGTAGTAGTTTTAAAGTTATTTGGAGTGGTGCGTATACATGACATTTTGTCAGCATGTTCACTTTTATTTATTATTTATTTAGCATATGGCATATCATACATGGAAATAACAATACATACATACACACAGAGAGAGACAGGCATACACATATGCAGGCAAGAACTCTAGTATGCAGGCAAATGGATAGGTAGGCACTACAGAATGTTGGCAGAGGGGTGGATGCATGCTGCAGAATGCAGATGGGCCAATGGCAAGTGCTATGGACATGCCCTATGGAATCCGGGCAGGGTGGAAGATGTTACAAAGTGCTGGTGGGTTAGTAGCCACCATGGAATGCAAGTGGGTGGTATGGGCAGATGCACACTACAAAGAGCAGGTGGGTAAGCACATATTATGGAATAGAGATCCCCATGGTTGTAAGGAACACCAGGAGTTCCTTAGAAGAAAAGAAAGGCAGAGTGAGAGTAACTGCAGGAGTGACTAGTGACTTCTTGCCAGCTTCCGCATTGACTTTTCTTTGTGGGAAGCCAGCAGGGAAAGTCACAAATAGTGATCCTGTGACTATAGTTGAGCACTTTTAACTGTTATATGCGTGAGCAGTTTGCCAAGCACCTGAATTATGAAAACATGACTGTGAGGACTTTGAGGCTAATATTTGAAGCTCCCTCATCACCAAACAGTTGCTGAACATGTGGTTACTAAGCAAAGGCTACCTGTCCTATTTTCTTTTCCATGAACTTATTAAAATTAATCTGATCCTTCAAACTGAAAATCTGAGGGGAGACAAAGTAGTTGAGGCATGTAGCAATGCAAGGTCTTTCTTTTTTCTGTGCTGCTCTGAGGTTTCCAAAAACACAGATGCTTGGATTTTCTGCCTGAATGTCCCAGAATTACTTGGCCAACCTTAGTATTCTGCATTTTGACTTGACTAGATGCATTCAACTTTGTCTGATACAACTCCAGCACAAAATGAGTTTTCCAGTACTTCTTATTCTACTGGATGATGCTTTCTAATGCAACGTGATTCTGGACCACAGTTTATTTATCTTATAAACATTATCATTATATTACAACTATTACTATTATTATTATTATTATTATACAATTGTATCACAGCGGCCAGTTGTTTCGCCGGATTTGGCATTGGTTACTAGTCGGGCCCCACCCAGGGGCCAGGACGTCGTATTTTCGTAATATGCGTGCAGTTCCA